TATCTATCTATCTATCTATCTATCTATCTATCTATCTATCTATCTATCTATCTATTTATTTTTTATTTTATGTGCATTGGTATTTTGCCAGCATTTATGTCTGTGGGAGGGTGTCAGATCCCCTGAAGCTAGAGTTAGAGACAGATATGAGTTGCCATGTGGGTGTTGGGAATTGAACCCAGGTCCTCTGGAAGAACAGCTATGTTCTTAACCATTGAGCCATCACTTCAGCCCACCCACCTTTTAAAAAATGAAATTGGAAGGGAATAGTTGTGTGAGGGAAAGGGGGAAGAAATTAAAGGGAAGGGGATGGAGGATAGACTTGATCAAAACACATTATATGCATGTATGAAATTACCAAGAAATATTAAAAAAAAAAAAAGCCCAAACCGTTCTAGCTTTGGTAAAGGGGAGGCTGTGTGTTAACAATGGTTAACAAAGCAAACAAAAAGCAGCACTTAGCTGGAGAGATGGCTCAGCGGCTAAAGTGCTTGCTGAAGAAGTGTGGGGATGGGAGTTTGGATCCCCAGAACCCAGGTACAGTCTGCACAGCATTGGGTGGCTGTGGCAGCCCCGTACCCCAGCGCTCAGGAAGCAGAAGATGGGACTCAGGGAGTACTCTGGGGTCATAAAACGAGACTGAGTTTTTCTTTCCTAGTTTTTGTAATAACCTTGGGTAATAAAAAACATCCATTTTTGGTTGAATTTCTTTGCAAAGCACCTGCATTTGTTTGTGTGGGGAGAATAATTTTTTAAAAAACTTTTAGTTTTTGAGTCAGGGTCTCACTATGTAGCCCTGGCCGTCCTGGAACTCACTCTATACACCAGGCTCTCCTTGAACTCACAGAGATCCTCCTGCCTCTGCCTCCTGAGTGCTGGGATTAAAGAACTGTACCAGCACACCTAGTGAGGAGCATATATATATTTAAATTAATTTTATTTTATTTTATGTGTGAAGGTGTCAGATCCCTTGGAATTGGTGGTATAGACAGTTTTGAGCTGCCATGTGGGTGCTGGGAATTGAACCTGGGTTCTTTGGAAGAGCAGGCAGTGCTCTTAACCACTGAGCCATCTTTCCAGCCCGAGGAGCATATTTTTAAACTATGTTCCTATCATTTAATATTTCCTAGTCTATTAGGTTTCCCCCTTTTTTGAGATAGGGTCTTTTTATTGCAGCCCAAGCTGGCCTCAAACTATTGTCCACATTGACATAAATCCAATTAGACTCGAGATTCTCAGCAGGTACCAAGCATGATTCAAGTTAGTCACATGTTTCTTATGGAGGCGATTTGCTATGTAGATTCATATTGTCTTCAGCCTCCTGAGTGCTTGGGGTTACAGGTGTCCACGGCTACATCTGCCGATGTGTATTTCTTTTCTGGGGCTCGGGTCGATGTTGAAAATGTCTGAGTATTTATTTAGGTTTTTAATTCTCAGCATATCATTCTTTTAATAATCTGATTTATTTCCTTGTGTGTATTTGTCTATGTGAGTGCTACCATGTAGGCGCAGGTAGTGGTAGAGACCAGAAGGACGCGTCAGATACCCCGGAGCTGGAGTTACAGGTGGTTGTGAATTGCCTGACATGGACCAGAAACCTGACTTGGGTCCTCTGGGAGAGTGGCGAGTGTTCTTAACCAATGAACCGTTTCTCCAGCTCCTCATTATTACGCCCTCAAATTTGTGTGCTCGCCTTGTATCTTTTTCTTACTCAGCTTCGGCAGATGTCCCTCTCATGGGTCTTTCTTCCTGATCTTTCCACATGGAGAAGGGTCACAGTTCTCTTGTAGATGAACTCCATGCTCCAAAGAGTTCCGCCAACAATTCAGTTAGTTTCTGGCCTTCTTTATATATAAAGTCACTGGAGTGTTGAGGCAATAGCCACCCGGGGCTCTTTGCTGTCTTTAATTAAACCCTGAATATTATGCATGGCAGCACCGCAGCGCTCTCTTTAGGATATCAGGGACTTGCCTCTAAGTGTCCTAAACTTTGGGGATTTAGCTGGAATTTTAACACACAAGAGGAGGCTATAATTCAATATCTTCTCTCACGGATATATCTTTCAAAGTAAGTTTGAGGGCTGGAGAGACGGCTCAGTGATTAAGAGCACTTGTTGCTCTCGCAGAGGACCCTGGTTCAGTTCCCAGCACCCACGTGGCAGCTCACAACTGCCTGTCAGTTCAGTGTCCGTGGATCCAATGACTCCTCCATCCCCCAGTGCAGGCAGATGGCACACATACATGCCAGCAGACAAAATACCCACGCACATGAAATAAAAACCAATCAATCTTCAAGAACTCTGAGTTTTGAAATACTTG